CCCCCACCCAACCGCCGCCGCTTCGGGCTCCTCGTCTCAAAAACAACAGCGGCAGCGCCGCCAGCTCCGCGCTCTGCCGCTGCCCGGGCCGCGCGGGCGGGACTCGGACCCGCCGCTCTCGGTCCCGCGCGGAGCTGCGGGGAGCGACGCGCCGAGCACCAGGGAGGCATCGCGGGGACGGCCGTCCGCACGCCCGGCGTCCCCGCACCTCTCCGTCCTGGGGGCAACCCGCGCACTCCTGCCTCCGCGGCCCCCAGGTGAGTACTCCACCGCGCGAGCGCAGAAGCTGGACCACCTCCAGGGACCCGGGCCTCTGGGGACACTCCCCCCTCGTCTCGCTCGGGCCAGGTGCGCCCAGGGCGGGAGGGCCAGCGGAGCAGGTGGAGGCGTGGGGGCGGGAGCCCACCGGGTGCTCCTTCTGCCCGCAGCCCTCAAACTCGGAGGCCCAGCAGGGGAGGGCCGGGCTGGGGGCAGGCAGGGTGTCTGGGCCCAGGACCCGGTGGGGACGGTGAGAATTCCTCAGTCGAGTATGCATGTCTGGGATTCAAGAATGAATCGGAAGCCACCGGAAGCGCTGGCCCCCGTGCCCTTCCAGGACTAGGGCTCTGCCAGGTTGCAGGACTTGGAGCTGCTGCAGAGTCAGCCTGAGCCTGAAAGGGGTCCAGCCGGCGATTTGGGGTCTCTGGAGCCTGGGGGACCTCCTGGTCGTGCCCCTCCCCTGTGTGGTGCAGTGAGACCAGCCGCGCCTTCCCGGGCTTACATTCCGACCCCCGTGCCCTTGATCACAAAAGAGGTGAACCGGCCACAGCGAGGGAGCTAACCCGAGACCCCCGGGTCCTGGCAGAGGCACCTTGAGGGCTAGGGGCGCATGGCCGATGGTACCCCAGAGTAAAAGCCCCACAGAGCCAGGCTTGGCAGGAGCCAGCGACGGTGCAGCGCTGGGCCCTGGGCCTCCTCAGCCCGCGGCCGCTTCCCTGCTGGGATGGGAACCCCAACAGAGCTCCCACTGCTTGGGGGTGTCCACGCTTGTCTCCCGCGTTCACTGCCCTGTACGGAGAAGGCGCGCTGCCCGGCTCTGGTTCTCACTGACAGTCTTTTCCGCTGTTTCCTGCCCTTAGGTGAGTGTCTCCCGCGGTAGCAGCACTGAGTGTCCGGGCACCCCAACCCCAGTTCCCTCCGTCCTTCCGAGGGCCTCTCGCCCGCTCCCTCCCCAAACACCCTGACCATCTTTTCCCGTGGGCTGAGCGCAGTACAGTTGGGCTCGGAGGGCACCTGGGCCTTGCTGCCCGGCTGTCCGCGACTCGGTGGGGAGTGTGCCCATGGGGGACTAGGGCATTGCTGCAGGCCCTAGCCAGCTCAGGGCCCATTCCTCCCCAGGGTGGGGAGGGTGGTCACTGACAGAGGCAGGAGGGAAGGGAGCTGGAACCCCGGAGCTCTGGACCTGCCCACCTGACTCAGCCAAGGCAGGCTCAAACCGGTGGGCCTAACCTGGCTGGAGCTGCTGGCCAGAGAGAACACAAGGTCACCCTCGTGCCTCAGCACCCTAGGGTCCCCTTGCAGGGAGCCTCCCAACGAGGTTAGGTATGAGGCCTGAGAGAATACAAGGGTGCCTGTGAAGGCTCCCACCTGCAGAGTGGGTCCCCACCTCACCCCTGAGCCCAGCCCAGCACTGGCTCCCCTGCCCTGGAAGCAGACCGTGATCCCAAGGTTAGGGGGGGCCCAGATTTCTCCTGACGCACCCCAGTTCACTCAGGCCCTCTGCCTGCTCCTTCCCTCAGCTCAGGAGGCGATTAATCTCCTCAGAGCCCTGGCCAGGCTGGGCCAGGATACCCTGCAGACTGTGGAACTGCCGCCTGCCAGGGCCTGGGGAAGGTGGGCAGGAGGCTACGGAGAAGGCCAGGCTGCACTCGCTTCCCTGCCGCCTGCTAGGACCCTTCGGGGCTGGGGGTGGGGCAGCGCATTCGGGCCAGCCTGGGGAGACGGCTCGGGAGAGCAAAGCTGACCCGGAGATAGCACCTCCATGTGCTGCAGCCCCTTAGCCGGCGCTCTCCAATCAGCCGACCAGCTCGAGGAGCCTGGACAGGCCATCCCCAAGGCCATGGCCCTGGCCAAAGTTGGGTCCTGGCCTGACCAGGCCCTGCCCCCGCGTGGCCAGACTTAGAATGGAGAGCGGGTCAGGCGTTGTCAGGAGCCCCAGCGAGAGAGAAAGGGTGAAGCAGGGAGAATCAGAGGCAGGTCCTCCCGGGGGCCCCCAGTTCAGCGTCCTGCCCGAGGACATTTGGGACTTAGGGGAACAGGTGTGGACGAGTGGAGCCCAGTTTTCATTTCGGTAATACTGAAAAGTTTAAGGGCAGTTTTCAAAGTGAGCCAAGCGATGGCAAGTCTTGTGGCCAATGCCGCCAAGGGGACCCCGCACCGGGGATGGGGGTGCTGCCCACCGCATCCCCAGTGACCGCCAGGCTCGTAGGAGGCTGCTGAGCTGTGTGGGTTGGCTGCATGGACCTGCCCTCCACTCTGAGTTTCAGAACCGACTTCAGTGCTGGGTCAGGGGACTGGAAAAGGGACTTTTACCACCAACTTCTGGGACACTGGGACCTGCTTCAGCTGGGGCTCTGCCCACTCCCAGCCTGTCCAGCACATAGGGCAGTGCAGCTGGACACCCATGATCAGGAGAACTCCTTTGGGAAAGGGCCAGGTTTGGGAGCGGGAGCAAAGCCAGTCCTGAAGTCCTGTAGTGAGCATTGTAGTGGCAACGAATGAGGCAGGTCCCTAACTCCGGGACTTTCGAGTAGCTCATAGGGAGTAAAACCGCACTGCCGCCGCCACGCACTCACTCCGGCTGAAGCATCCCTTTGCTTGGCCACGACCAGTGCTCCTAGCCAACTCATGGAGGCCCGGCCTCTGCAGTGGAGGTCTGCATTTCAAGGTCTGTATGCCTAGAGCAGCAGGGGCAGAGCCGGCCCAGCCCCCTTGCCTCGGCCCCGCAGGCCCCTAGGAGCTTGCTGCAGACTGCATGCTGGGCAGTGGGGATGGCCAGCCACCAATAAGGCAGAGGCACTGACCTGGCCAGGTCCTCCGCTTTTCTTACACGCTCCCCTCTGGGCTCCCTGAGCTCGGCTGCAGGCTGTCAGGCGCTCAGCCTCGGGCTCTATTAGCGTCCAGGTCAAGTCTGTTCACCTTATGGTTCCTGCTCAGAGAGACAGACACTGAGTAGCTAAGAGAATACAAGTTCTTCTCCCTTAGTTTACACATGGGCTCTTCTCCAAGACCCCGAGCTGCCCCAGAAGGGGTCTAGATCGCCAGTCCTTGTCCCAGCCCCACACACAAGGCACCGAGTCTGATGGAGATCGGGCCTCCCATCTGGGGTCGTTCTCCTGCCCTACGCTAGATGGAAACGTCTCCCAGATTTGAGCATCACAAAGCTGCATACTCAGGGACAAACCGGAGACCCAGCCGCAGAGGAGAAAACATGGTGCTTTTGGCGCCCAGCAAGGGACTCGTTGGGGACTGAACGCAGAGGACTTGGGGCAAATAGCTCGAGTGTTTGGTCAAGAATGGGGGTGGGAGCAGGGCACAGACAACCTCCAGGGCCATTTCCTCCCCGCGAGGCCGCCACACTGCAGCCTTTTTCCTTGGCACCACAGCTCTGCTCCAGACTGGGGCCACCAGGGCCTCCGTGGACTCTGGGTTACAACTGTGGGCCCCCTTTCGCCCCTCTTCCTGCCCCAGCCCCCGGGAAATTCACTGTGACCCAGGTCAATTTCAAGGACAGAACACAGGTTGCAGTCTCTGGCCCAGCGCGTTCCAAACCGTCGTGGCAAGGCTGTTCCCTAAGCCGCGCCGAGTGGAGGCCTCTGGGTGCCCATGCCCAGTCCCTGGATTTGGAGCGAGTCACAGAGGGAGCTGGGGACACTGCCAGCCCGGCCCTCCCAGGAATGGGGACCCCGCAGCTGATTTCCACCAGACCCCAGGCGTTTGGTGCTACTTCCTTCTCGGGCAGGCGGACATTGTCCCTGGAAGATGGGCGGCCTCCTGGGAAGGTCCCGAGGTTTCTCTGCCCACCTGCATTCTGGAGTCCTGGCTGGGGCGACTGTGTCTCAGGAGCGCGGGTCACTCTCCTGCGGTCACCTGGGACCTGCCACATGCATTTGGGGTGGGTGGTCATCGGGAGTGTTTTTGGTTTTGTTTTGATTTTTAATTTAAGAGATTGAGGCTGTGGGCCTGAACTCCCCGTTTGAGCCCGGGAGGGAGTTGGCGCCAGTATCCCGACCCAAACCTTTTCTCCAGGAGGCGCCGGTGAAGCCTGACGTCCCCTCCCCGGCGGCGTGCACAGTGGGTCCGAACCAAGCGACCGCCGAGCCGCAGGGCTCCAGCTGCAGCGCGCGGGCGGCCACTGCCGCGGGGAGCAATAAACGGAATTGGTTTCCCACGCTTTCCCCCTCCGTTCGAGAACCTTTAAAAATCCGCCAACGAATCCCGTGGTTCGGTTTGCGTTGATCCTGAGCGGTGCGCCCATCCCGTGCCCCCAGTAGCCAGCACCTTTCGGAGAGGGGACCCTGGCGCCACCCGCACCCCCAGGCCACCCGCCCCGCACGCCCGGAGCAGCTTCGCTCCCCCAGAGTCCTGGCCCTGCAGGGTCCGCAGAGCTGCGCGCGGCCGAGGTGGCACCGTGGCCTCTCCGGAACGCTGCCCGTGTGGACCCGGCCGCCGCCTCCTGCGCCCGGGGCTGCGCGCGGGCAGGGCCCTGGCAACAACGAAAACGGTTAACCGCGTCGCCTTTCCGGCGGTCAAGACCCGGGAGGCGCTGGGTGGGAGCCATTTCTTCGCGTCCCCACACGCCCCAGAGCCAAGGACCTCGGCCTGGCCGCCTGGTACCTGAGGAGACTCCCCAAATCGGCTTGCACACCTTTCTGTGCAAAGGGCCCTCCTTCCGTCTGCTAGGCTGCGGTCCCTGGCCCCCACTCCCCCGCCGACCCTCTTAGTTTGGAAACGAAATCTCTTCTTTGCTCCTGAGAGCGCCACACCCAGCAGATGTGACCCTGGACAGGGAGCTGCGTGGATTTCTTCTCCAGCCTCAGTTTCCCCGCCTGTGAAATGGGGCCAGACCCTCCTGTGCCCCTCTCACGGGTTTGCGCGAGGTTGGAGGGAGAACGGACAGATGGAAAGCGCCAGGGGGTGCCGCTCACAGCCCACCCCTTGGGGCCACGTTTGCGCGGTGGGGTGCAGAGGTGGTGCCAGACCGGAAGCGGCGCGCCGTTGTTCTTGAGCAATCTCTGCCCATCCCTGCTCTTCGCGCCCGCCCCCCATCCGCACCATCCTCCAATTCCCCTCTCCCGGGCTCGGTGGAGGACCGTGGGGGTCCAGCTCCTCCCCGGAGCGGCTGGGCTCGCCCTGGGCAGAGCTCTCCGGCTCCTCTGGGGCCCAGGATGCAGAGAGGTTTAACACACCAGGCTCCAACTCTAGAGTGGTCCACCCCGCACCCCATATCTTGCAGAGGGCGGGTGCTGGGGCTGCCAGGAAGGGAGGACGGGCGATGGAGGCCCTGGTCCCAGCTGAGCTTCTGGGGGCGGGGGTGGGCGGGAGCACACCGCGCGGACTGCGGCTTCCAGGTGCTGGGACTGCGTGTATCCAGCACGTCTGGGCGGGGCCCTCGGGTGTGACCGTGGGAGCTCAGGTGTCGTTTCCCCTTAAACTACTGTCCGGATTTTGACCGAGGGGGTGGGGTGGGGGGGCAAAGGCACTGCCCCTCGTGCACACGTGAGGGCCTCCTGCTTCCCGCATGTGTTTGTGTTGTGACCGCCCCCCTCCCGCCCGCTTCCAGGGCAAGCAGACAGCTGGGGTGGTGAGGACAGAAGACGCCTTGCTTGCAGTCAGCTTTTTCCCCTTCCCGCTGAGACCCTGGGACAGCTCCCCCACCCAAGCTTCCTGGGTGCCCCAATTTCTTAATGTGTAATATGGAGGCAGACAAGACAGGGGTTATTGTGGGGATGGCAGCATACAGGGGTGGGCCTGTGTTTCTTGGGAGCTCTGACGGTTGCTGGCGCTAGGACTGTTAGTGGCAGGGTCTGGGCTCCCTCTGGCCCCTCCTCCCCCAGAGGCAAGGCCTGGCCCTGGAGGCTCTGAGTGAACCCATGGAGGGCAGTGACCCTCTCCCTGGCTGGACACAAAGGGCAAGTCAGCCAGCATGAGGACAGGGCCCCTGGAGCTGTCAGGCACCCACTGCCAGGCCACCCTCTTGGCCTGGGACTGCCCTGGCCTTGCCTGGTCAGGGTGGAGGGTCAGCTGGTCTCTTGGCACCTGCAGCTGGTGCTTCTCACAGGTCCACCACTGTCCTCTGGGGGGCCCGAAGCTCTTGGATCATGCTGCAGACCTAGCATTCATTCATTCATTCATTCATTCATTCGCACATGGCAGAGTCCCCAGTGAGGCCCCATTAAGGCCCAGTGTTGCTGGAACTAACAGTCTCCTGGTGCGGGCTGGCCACGGAGGGTGTTTCCTCCAGCAGACCTAGAACCTCCAGGGTGTCTGACCACTCCAAAGCCACAGTGCCTGGCCCAAGCCTGGGAGCCTGCTTGAATGAATGGATGAATGAATGAGTCACGAAAGAATGAAGTGTGGAAAGTGACCCTGGAATCTCCGCAGCCTGGTTTCAGCCCGGAGGCAGACGGAAAGAGAAGAGAGACAACTTTATAGGACATTGCAGTGGAGGCAGCAGCCCTGTGCTGAGTGACCTGTCCCTCATCGGCCCCAACTTGCAAAGGGCTGCCTGTGTTCAGCAGCCAGTGCCAGCCCCACGTAAGGGGCCCAAGCAGCGAGCAAGCCGCCCAGGTCCCCTGCCGTGCGGGGCGCATTTGGATAAGGCAACCGATTTACTCAGAGGCCTCAGGGGGATGATGGAGGCAGGGGGCATGGTGGAAAGAGCACCCTTGGGAGAGAGCTTGTCTCTCCGTGAGGCTCCCTGGCCTGGAGTTATAGAGCCAGGTGGTGCTGGACTCCTGTGCCAGGCAGGGTGCTGGCCGTTGCCCGGCTTGGCTCCTACCCCTGGGATGCCTCACAGTGCCGTGTGACCCTCACAACAATCCCATTCAGTAGGAACTGCAATTGCTTCCACCTTACAAATGGGGAAACTGAGGCTCAGAGATGCAAGGCATGTCACAGAGGCAGGAGAGTGGGGTTCAGTGCCTGACTACAAAGCCCGGCTCCAGGTGACACAGGCAGCAAGACGATGCTCTCCAGGGTGTGCACGTGACAGAGAGAACACTGCAGAGGGGTGTCTGCCCGGGACACTTTCCCGGGGGCCATGTGGTACCAGAGACGTGAGCTCCAGAGTGCTCTGCTCTCCAGGTCAGCCCTGTGCTTCTGACAATAAATGAGACATTTATTTGCCTGTGTCCAGAAAGACAGCCATTTGGGGTCCCCAGCTCTCACTGGGGAGTCAGGCCCCCCGCTCAGGGCAGCCATCCCGGAACTGTTCTGGGGGCAGGCCCTGCAATCCAGCCAGTGGCTCTGGGGGCCTGGTGTGGAGCTAACACACCAAACAAGTCATGCTCAGCATCTGGGCTCCTAGTAAGGTATTTCCAATCATAGAATGTGTCATTTAAAAAATATATGTGTCAGTTAAGTGTGTACTGAGCCCGGACCACGTGGGACATAGTTGTTCGAATAAACACGAATAAGCCAGTTTTCACATTAGAGAAATAACAGTGTCTAGTAGAAATGCGGTGCTTTTAAAATAGGTTAATTAATAAACAGCAGGTAATTGTTCGTGGCACATCGTGGCAGAGGGTAATTTTCATTTTAGAGGATAGAAGGGCCAAATACCCCTCCCCACTCAGCTTTTTTGTGTAATAATCACCTTGGCTTCACCTCCGCCTTTAATTTTTACAGCTGGAGCTGTTTATCCTCGCTCCAACTTTCACTAAAAAGGAAAAACTATCACTTAAACAAAGCCATTGAAAACTCTGCATCATATGTGGGCTCCTTAACATAAATAAATCACACAAACCAAGATTTATGTTCTCCGAATGATGTCATTCATTGAAGGCTGCCTGCCCCATCGAACGCGCGCCGAGCGCGTTTCCTGTTGTGTGTGTGCTTTTTCGCAGAACTGGAAAAGCCGCCCTCGCATCCTTGCTGCTCGGCCTAGGTCTCTCCCTCGGTCAAGCCCGCAGAACCAGACCTAAACGGTGAACACCGTTTCAACCCCACAGGCTGCCTGTAAAGCGTTCGCCCTGGAGCTGCAGGATCCGAGGCTGAAGGACGGAACGCTTCCCCAAGAGCTCCTACAGACCCAGCAGAAATGGAAGGTCCTCTGGGTCCCTGAGACCCTACGATGAGTCCAGCTGTGGGCTATTCACACAAAGTGAAGGAGGAACAGGAAAATCGGCACCGATGCGGGGATGAGACGTGGCCTGGCCACACCACGGAAGGGTCCTGGCCATAAACCGGGATGGAACGCTGACACGGGCCACAACACGCGTGAACCTCAAAGACTGTCTTCTCAGTGAAAGAAGCCAGTCACAAAAGGCCACGCATTGCATGATTTGATTCACGTGAAATGTCCAGGATGGGCAAATCCATGGAGACAGATAGTAGATGAGTGATTGCCGGAGGCTGGGGGAGCGGGATGTGGGAGGTACTGCTCCATGGGTGCCCGCTCTCCTGGGAAGATGAAAAGGCTCTGGAATGAGATGGTGGGGACGGTTGCACGACACCGTGAATGTGTTAAACGCCGCTGAATTGTACGTTTAAAAATGGTCAGTGTTTGGGTATGTGAATTACATCTCAATAAATCTACCATTTAAAAAGCCACTACTGAGCATGCATGTTTAAACATCTTTTAAAGCTCTTTTAAAAATTTGGAAATGAGCATACAGCTCGATGAGTGTGTGAGACGCACGTGCACACGCTGACGGGTGTCACGAGGGCTCCGGCCTCAGCACCTCGGTGAAGGATGAACACGGGACCGTTTTCTTCAAAGCCCTCTGTGCAGCCTCCCCCCCTAAGCACATCCCCGTGCCACCAGCCCAGAAGTGACCACCACCCAGGTTCTGTGTTAACTGTCTCCTGTTTTATCACCTAATACCGATGTCTAAAATGTGAGTCTAGCTGTAGGAACTTTCTCAAGTTGAAATGCATGAGGAACATGAACACCGCCACTGGTGGGTCAATGAAATGAGGTCTATCCACACCACGGGATGGTATTTGGCGCCAAAAAGGAATGACGTTCTGACACATGTTACAACACGGTTAAGCCTTGCGAACGTGAAAGAAGCCAGACGTTAAATGGCACATATTGTGACACGATTTATACGAAGTGTCCAGAACAGGCAAATCCACAGGGACAGAATGCAGACTGGTGGTTGCCTAGCTGTGGAAGGAAAGGCAGAGGTGGCTTGGGCAGGTGAATGTTTTAAGAGGTGATGAGCCAGACCACAGTCCCGCGCCAACCCTGGGAGTGTCGACGGGAGACCTTTGGTTGGAAGCCAGCAGGAAATAGGGCTGACCGAGGTTAGGCGTCCAGTGGATTGCAGTGTGGCCTTTATTCATCCAAGTGGCACACATTCATTGCACACCTAGTATGTGCCAGCACGGCCATAAGCAAAAGCCCCCCCCCCACCTCTTACAGAGCTCACTTACTCTTGGGGAGGTCGCTAAGCAAGATACACGAGAACACTGCACAGCGTGTTAGAAGGTTGTCCACGCTGTGGAGAGCAGGAGGGAAGAGAGAGGAGGGGTCTGGGGTGAGGAGGGTACCATTTTCAATAGGGTGGCCAGGCACGACCTCTGTGAGGTGGTGACATTTAAACAGAGACGTGAAGTCGTGAGGAGGAGCCATGTGCACACCTGGGGAACAGCATTTGGGCAGAGGGAACAGCCAGTACAGAGGCCCTGAGGTGAAAAATGGCCAGTGTGGCTGGAGCAGAGGGATGGAAGGAGAAAAGAGCAGGAAAGCAGTGCAGAGGGGCAGTGGGTGGGGGGGTGCAAATTAAGGTTGCAGATGGAATTAAGATGGCGAATCAGCTGACCTTGAGATAGGGAGCGTATTCTGGAATATATGGTGGGCCCAACGCCCTCACAAAGGCCCTTAAATGTGGTAGAGGAGGCAGAAAGATTCAACTGCCTTGCCGGCTTCAACCCCGAAAGGAAACCATGAACCAAGGAATGCGGACAGCCTCCAGAAGCTGGAAGAGGCAAGAAAACGCATTCTAGACTCTAGAGAGGAAAGTACCTCTACTGATACCTTGATTTTAGCCCAGTGAGACCCTTTTTAAACAGGCCTTAGTGCTGTTTTAAGCCACTGAATTTGTGGTAATTTGTTACAGTGGCCACAGGAAACTCATAGGGGGTGGGGGCAGGAACTTCACACGTGCTCGATCGAGACAAGCCAGGTTAAGGTAAAAATCTGAGCCAGGCTCTCCCAAATTGAGACAAGGGAACAGTGACTGCAGGGCATTGATAACAGAGGTCCTCACAGCCGGCTCCCTACTCACGCTGCTCCAATACCGACCAGCTGCCCTGTACGTTCTGCCCATGGCCATCCTCCTAGGGTCTTGGTTGTTATCCTCTGGGAAAATTCCTTTGGCTCTCCTGCTCCCTAGAGCCCATGTTTTCTTGGCTTAATTTCTCGTGTTTATGGAACACATCCTCTAGTAGCTTCTGGTAAACTAGGAGGTAAGTTCTTAGGCCTTCACTCACATGTCTGAAAATGGCTTTATTCTTCCATCCTCCCAGCATGATAGTTTGGCTGGATATAGAATTCTAGTTGGGACATGATTTTCATCCAGAATTTTAAGAGCCTTGCCCCATGGTTGCCCCTCACTTCCAGGGTAGCTGTTGAGAAGTCTGTGGGGTGTCTGTTTCCTTATGCTTTGTGTGTGACTTGCTTTTTCATCCTTGGAAACTTACAGAGTCTTTTCTTTGTCCCAAACGTTTTCCATTGTTTCACAGTGATGCACCCTGGAGTGAGTCTGTTTGCATCCACTGTGGGTCCTTTCAAACTGGAAGCTATGTCCTTCAGCTCTGGGGAATTTTATTGAAACACTTCCTTGCTGATTTCCTACCCTCTGTTTCCTCTGCTTTGTTTTTGGAAACTGATAGTATGACATTGTCTTCTGCCCACCTAGTCTGTGTGCCCTCCAAATAGCTTTGTTTAATCCCTGTCTTCTCTCCAACATCTGTTGATGTTTGGCTGTCTGCCCACGATTTGGAGGGGAGCATAAAGCTAGGTAGAAGATCTGAGAGTAAGGGGGTGGGGTTGTTGCCCCTGAGGTTCATGGAATGGTGATCCTGAGGGCCCTTGATGAGGACCCTTGATTTAGGGAATGATTTGACTCCGAGGGAAGTGCCCAGGAAATGAGGGAGGGGTCTGGCTGCCAGTCTCCTGGGAGCCAAGGTGGCCCCTGCAGTCAGCCTTCAGGCAAGCCTGCCTGTGCTCCTGGGAATAAGCCTTTGGACTTTTGCTAATATGGGGGAGGGACATTGGGGAGGGGAGATTCAGGAGTCTAACTTCCTCACAACCCCCTTTTGCTCTCAACTCCCTGATCATCACCACTCCTGCACCCCTAGTCCCAGGGTCACTTTTATGGCCAATCCTGAGTTTTGGGGTGCTCTTTGTATTAAATTGGGTAAAATCTCACCTTCCCTCACTCTCTGTTTAGGGCTGCCTTTCTCTTGTCGGTGACCTGGTTACCACAGTTTCATCTGTAATTCAGCTCTCAGAAATTCGGGGTAACTGTCATCCCCTCCCTATAGGTAAATGTCTTTTAAAGTCTTTATCGTGGTTGAGGTGGGCTTTGCAGAGGGAACACTGTTAGATGTGTTTAGCCTGCCACCTTGACCCAGAGGCCTTTGTGGCTGTCTTAGAAAGGCCGCACCCATCCTCAGGTCTGGACCTGATCCCACCCAGGTGTTCTGGGTCCTGACCACTGACTTTCCCGGAGCCTCCCCCGTGGCACAGTCCTGCAACAGATAGGATTGTCCCATGAGGTCGGTTAGTTCCACACAACGGCTGCTGTGTAGACGATGGACATGATGACGTAGATACATACGTATTGCCATATTGTCCTGAAATCCAAGGGGAAGAGGGACCTTTAGGAATGTAAATTAAACTATTAACAGTGGTTTTCTCTGAGTGTTGGCATTTCAGGGTGTTATAACTTTTCCCTCTGTTACGTTTATCTAGTTTTTTATTTTTTATTTATTAATTTTTTTTAGCTGAGCCATCCTGCCACCTGTTGGCAGCTCCGCTCAGGCCGGGAATTGAACCAGTGACCTTGTTGCTCAGAGTTTCCACTCTTTTTTTTTTTTTTTTTTTTTTTTAAAGTTTTTTTTTGGGTAATTGGGGGGATGGGAACAGTACTGGGGAATTAGGGGAAGGGGAACAGACAAGTTGCTGTCGTTTTGTTCTTCAATCTAGTTGTGGAGGACGCTGCTTCACTGGCCCAAGTTGGCACCATCATTGCGCTCTTCCCTGGCGAGGCAGATCAGTCGCCGGCTTCTGGACGGCCGCTCACTGCGGCTGCTGGCCGCTCACTGCGGCTGCTGGCCGCTCACGCTGGCTGCTGGCTACACACGGTAGCCCATGGCAACCCACTGCCACAGGGACTGCAGCTTAGCCGTCGCCGGCGACTCATGGCAACCCAGCTCCAGGTTGAGCTGTTGTTCAGCATCTTAGCTGTAGAGGGCAGTGTCACTGGCCCTCATATGTGGGATCCGAACCGGGGCCCTCTGGCATCCCAAGCGAGTTCTTAACCATCGCGCCACTCGGCCGGCCCCAGAGTTTCCACTCTTGAGCGAGCTCTTAACCAACTGAGCCACTCAGCCGGCCCTATCTACATTTTTATTTTTCTCCAGCGACTATATATTAGTTATGTAATTGTTACATGGCTTAAAATTAAGAACAAAACCCTATATGTCCTTCAAGAGCTGGCTCAGATGTCAATACCTCCCAGAAGGTTCACCTGAACCTGCTGTTGGTAACGCTCCCCTCAGCATATATGCAAGACGGGCTTTAAATAAAACTTTATTTTCTGAATATAAACTTAATTTATAAGTTTAAGCTTCATTTGTACCAGGGCATGGTAGGCCGTGGACGCATTCTGAGCTTGACTCAGTTTCCCAGTTTGTTGAGCTGGGGGAGGGGCGTCTGACCCTGGGCTCCAACCCTGAGGCCTGGGGGTGTGGGAGGGGGCAGGACTGCAGGTTCCTGAGCAAGTGGCCAGCTGACCCCGCGGACGCCCTGTGCAAGTGAGCTGGTCACACCTGTTTGGGCCTCAGTCTCCTGACCTGCAAATGTGAGAACCACACCCCACTCTGGGCCTCTGTGGGGTGATGGTCACGATGCCTGTGAAGGGCTTAGAGTTCCACACATAGAACTGACCATCTAAACTATTGTTAAGTGCACAGCTCAGTGGCCCTAAGCACACTCACAGTGCTGTGCAGCCATCACCACCACCATCTCTTCCCAAACTGGAACTCGGTCCCCAGTGAACACTCACGCCCCGCTCCCAGCCCCTGCAGGGCACCCATCCTTCCTCTCTCTGTCACTATGGACCTGACTCCTCCAGGGACCTCCTGGGAGTGGAGTCATACAGTCCTTGTCCTTTTGTATCTGGTTTATGTCACTCAGAGTAACGTCCTCAAGGCCCATCAATGCTGTAGCGGGTGTCGGAGCTCCCTTCCGTGTTCAGGCTGAGTGACACCTGGTGTGTGGCTGGACCACACCTTGTCCACCCATCCATCCATCCACAGAGCGTCCGGCTGCTACCCCCTCACTGTGCTGTGTTCAGCGGTGCTCTGCAGCCACGTGT